TAATATAATACTTGTTGTAGGTTTATTATAGTATTAGTGTATAATATATGGTTATCTAATTTCGGTTGATTAGAGTATATTATATTACATAATCAATCGAATTGTTGTTTCTAAGTTTAAAGGTCGTAATCATATGTCATATATATTCCACCACTGTACTTAGAAATTGCATATGTGGAACAGTGGAAGAGCACTTTTTTCGCATTCCCCATAAGCAAGTTGACGACTTTGCATTGAAAAGGACTCATTTTCCACGACCAAAACTATCGATGCCGATCGGACCAATCTAAAATCACTCAGATCCGCAAATATTTGATCCTCTCTAGTCCGGCCCAAACAGTTCAGCCCAGTCCAAATACGAAGCTTGATAAATTGTTTTTCTAAAAGCTAAAGCCTACTCTTCTCGAGTCTTATTGGTTACCTTACCTATAGCAAAATAACATAAAGCAAAAATTGCTATATCACCAACAAAGAAAGTAATCGTTTCAGGAACAGATTAGAAGAGAGAAACGCAAACATATCTCAACGTTTTAAACAATTTATTTCAAACCATTCTGGTGTCAAATGTGAAACCAGAGGACGCCGACGATAAAAGTGAAGAAAACTCCTCCTCCGTCTTCCACCATCAGAGCTCATAAATAGGCAGACTTACTTCTTTTGTCTTCTCCTAATTCCCGTTTTTTTTTTGTTGTTCCTGATTATTATTCTGACGACAAATAAAATAGAAAGCAAAATATGGATGCTGGATCAATAGACGCGAGCTTTGGGAGGGAAAGTCTCGATCTCATCGTCGAGAGTGTCCATGTGGACTGGCCTATAATCCAGTCTCACTTTCTCATCTTCCCAATATCCCAATGTATGTTTCATCCATTCTCCATCTTCTCTTTTCTGCACACACACATTTCTTAGTATCATTACAACAGGAAGATGAATGAGGTTTTTAGTAACGTGTAAAAGGGCGGCAGGCTGAGGAAGGAGAACAAACCGTGAAATCTTCCCGAGCATGTGCTCCTCTGCTTTCCTTTCGTGCTTCCGCTGAATGCATTGTTATCGAAGCGTTTATCAAAAGGTTCTCCAGTTCCAGTGTCTCTATCAAATCAGAGTTCCTGTTCAAATCGTTTTAAGAGATTAAACATAAAGAGTGTTTTACCAGATTCTACAACGGTAAAAAGATCAACTCCCATATGTAAAGAGTCAGTAATTTTTACCATATCAAACTCCGATCTTTCACCTGGACATCCCCAAAACTGTCCCACGCCTTGTCAATCAACTGACAACCTGTGAGAGTTTCACAGGCAAAAATGGTAAAAAAGTTGTGGATTTTTCAGGTAATTCAGTAGAAATTAACAGTTTTTTTTTTCTACCTTCTTCCAATGTTTCTTGGGTGCGGAAGACAGCTGCATTGTTCTGCATAATTCTCTGCATGTTCAATCTGATACTTGAAGTAGGAAGCGACCCGTTTGAGTTTCTTAATTTGTCCAGCCATGCGATAGTCTTCTCACCTGCATCCTTCTCAAGAGGTCTCTGTTTCTCCCCTGCACCAATACAAGAACCAGGACAAACATTATAGGAGAATTTTTTTTTTTTGTTTAATAGTTGCTTAGTCTTGAGATCCTCAAAATCAATAACCTGGTTTGTTTATCTCTGCAACTCTATTTGCACAAGCGCGGCCAAACACAACAATGTCTAGCAGTGAATTTGCACCAAGCCTGTTGGCACCATGAACAGATGCACAAGCTGCCTCCCCAGCAGCCATTAGCCCAGGAATCACTGCATCTGGATCATCACCTTTGATGGTAACTACCTGCAGGATCAAAAGAATTACGTTGACTGCTAGGCTTTGAATGCATCTTATGCTTCATTCCACACATATTCCAGAAAAGTTCATTGAAAAACTTTTTCCTATCGTTACCTCGCCGTGGTAATTTGTTGGGATACCACCCATGTTATAATGAACAGTGGGTAAGACAGGAATTGGCTCTTTGGTAACGTCAACACCAGCAAAGATGGCAGCAGTCTCAGAGATTCCAGGAAGCCTTTCTTTTAGAACTTCCGGCGGAAGATGATTCAGATGGAGATATATGTGATCCTTATGAGGTCCTGGCAGCAACAGTTATCCGAGATGAGAATAAAACTAGACGATCGCAAAATCAGGCATGTGTACTCTTGAAGACACATAAAAGAGTTTGCTCTGAAAATTAAAACTGGTTTTCATAGGAGCATACCTACACCACGACCCTCCCTAATTTCCATAGTCATAGATCTGGAGACCACATCTCTTGATGCAAGATCCTTGGCTGTAGGAGCATATCGTTCCATAAAACGTTCACCTTCACTGTTTCTAAGGATACCACCTTCACCTCGAGATCCTGCATTTGTATAATAGACAAACACCAAAAGATGCAAATGTCACAAAACACATTAAATCATACATTGTAAGAAAACTCAACTATGTAAGGACAAGATGCTAACCTTCAGTAATGAGACATCCGGCCCCATAGATACCAGTTGGATGGAATTGAACAAACTCTAAGTCCTGCATAATGTTATTAGACAAAATATTATTAGTATACAAATGGCAGGCAAATACATTATACACCAATTATCATAGGACGAAACAAATGAGGAACCTGGAGTGGAAGACCAGCCCGTGCAACCATGGCATTGCCATCTCCTGTGCATGTATGTGCTGAGGTTGCAGAGAAGTATGCTCTTCCATACCCCTGGAAAAATATAAGCCCTCAGGTGAGTATATTGGGAAAAAAATTGAATAATATAAAAAATAAAACTAGTCAACAACTAGCTCACCCCAGTGGCCAAAATTGTTTGTGCAGAGCGGAAACGATGTAATGTTCCATCTTCCATGTTGAGTGCAATTACACCCTGGCAGCTGCCTGCATATCAGATAACAATGTTGCATTAACTTCAAAGGGGCTTGCCTTTAAGTCCAAAATTGATTGATAAGAGCTATCAAACCCACTCATAAAGTCAATTACGACTACTACCCTACACCAAATAGCCAATACTAACAGAAACAACGGTAAAATTAGAATAACTCTCATAAATTTACCATCACTAGCCATGATCAAATCCAGAGCGAAGTATTCAACAAAGAACTGTGTGTTATGCTTCATTGCTTGTCCATAGAGGGTATGCAACAGAGCATGCCCAGTCCGATCCGCAGCACAAGCACAACGATAGGCCTGACCACCTGATGGTAGAAAAATACGAAACCAAATATGAGATATCTACTAGAACAAAGAGCCAAAGCTCTCAAAACAATGTAATAGCAAGCCGTTAGACAACTCACCTTTTCCAAAATCAAGACTCTGACCACCAAATGCACGCTGGTAAATTTTCCCTTCTTCAGTTCGAGAAAAAGGCAGTCCATAGTTCTCAAGTTCAATCACAGCCTTTGGTGCTTCTCTACACATATATTGGATAGCATCTTGATCACCTACACATAGCCAAAAAGAAACTCAGTAATTTCCTCGACGCACAAACAACTGAACCACATAACAGCCACAACGAGCAAGATTACCTAGCCAGTCACTTCCTTTGACAGTGTCATACATGTGCCATCTCCAATCATCTTCAGACATATTTCCCAGTGCAGCATTAATACCACCCTTCACAGTTTTCCATCATAAACTCAATCACAAAGAAACCAAAACTCCATTAAAATCAAGGTTTGTAACCAAATTACCTGAGCAGCGACAGTATGCGACCGTGTAGGGAAAAGCTTGGTAATGCAAGCTGTGTTAAATCCATGCTCCGATAATCCAATCGCCGCTCTAAGTCCAGCACCACCAGCTCCCACAACGACCGCGTCATACGTGTGATCCACTATCGTATACGAGGATTTCCCATCGGTCTGCCACATGATCAACAAATAAGCACCATAAAAACGCAAATCGATCATCGGAAAGAGAATTTTCAGCGTTTTTTCCATCATTTCCTCGACTACAAACGCATTTTAATGGCGGACAAAACTACGATTCATGAATCCACCCGAGATTTACGCGTATTAACATACGATCCGAAATCGAAATCGGAAGGATTAAGGAAGAGAGATCATACGGAACCGGAGGAGAAGAATCTAGAAAAGCGAGATCCAGAGAGTGAGGTCCTTGAAGAAGGAGCTCGAAGGCTACGAGAGACGCAGCGCCACATCTTCTTCTTCTCGATTTGATTTCCACAACGGGAATCAGTTTCTTCTATGCAAAATCTGTAGAAATGAAGACGAAGATTGTTATTTTTGTTTTTCTGAGAATTTAGCGAGAGAGGAGGTTTGGTTCCTTTTAAGAGGAGGATGCGAGCGGAGTGAGAGAGAGCCACCGAGGTGCTTAAAAAAGGAAAAATGGAAAACGATGACTTATACTTAAATTTACGTTAATACCCTTACTCTCAGACAATAATTACGGCTAATCCGATTTGCTTTGGGAACTAAAATCACCCAAGATTAGGAACTTGTAATGGTCAATAACACCCAAATGTTTGGTGCGGATTTATTCTTTGTCGTTGTCTCGTGCTCGTTTTTAGATCTAAACCGTTTAAAGATAAAATTGAACGATCACGGATTAATGCGAATCTTATTAAAGAAAGTCATTTGTAATTTTAATAACTAAGCTAAGTAGATTCAGAAATCTTCTACCGTCCGTCTTCAGCTGAATACTATTCAGAGACGTGGGCGTTGCGAATCCAATATTTGGGTAAGCCATTAAGAATGTTGTTAAGAAAAGGTATTAGTAAATATATTATATGTAAAAATCAGTATCCCAAACATCAATCCGATGTCGTCCAGCGGTTAGGATATCTGGCTTTCACCCAGGAGACCCGGGTTCGATTCCCGGCATCGGAGCTTTTTGTTTTTTTTTTTCACATTTTCCTAATTTTGGAGTTTTCGTTAATCTATTGGGCCTAATCATCCGACACACGAGTCAATAATCACGATATAAAGATTCCAAGTTTCAACCACTGCCAAATTTCTGAATTCATGAACCATAAGTCCATAACCATTCCATAACTAATACTAATATTCATATCCGAAAATAGCAAAAGCAGAGAGCTAATTGTTTTCATCGCATGAGAGCTACTAAACAACCCATTCACTCTCATGTTTTCAAGGTTTCAAAATGAGTACTAAACTTGACAAAAACTTCCAAAGCCCTCTCTAATAATCAAATCCTTTTAGGCAAAAGTAACCGGAAAAAGTTCCGAAAAAAAAAACACACCGAAGTGGCTTTTTACTGCGTGGCTCGATCGTTCTAACTGTCAAGGGAAGAAAGCATCCCTCCAGCCGAATTGGGTACGACAACTTCCCAACCAGGACCCTTCACTGGAAAAGCTTCACCAACTTCCTTATCTCCCGGTTTAGTAATAGTCAGGTCACTCCGATCAAGCAAGTGGTCAAGGTCCTCATCGCTTATATCGGTTTGTATCAGTTTATCTTCAGCAGTGTCAACCTCGTTAAGCAATGCCAGTACATCCTCCTCGTCCTGTGTGGTACATTGGTTCAAGCTTTTACTAAAAGATGATGCTTTTATTATAAGTGTATAAAAAAGATTTGGGTTTTGAGAGAAACTAAACCTCTAGTGGTTCTGAAGACATGACACGTGCTTGATGAAACTGCCCTTTGCCAATAACCACATGTTCCAGCTTAAGCTTGCTAAATGCTCTTTTCAGAATTCGGCACTGTTCCATGCCATAAACAAGTCTCATGAGGCAACAATCTCACTGGCTTTGATTATAAATTGGTTATAAAAACAGCAAAGAGTTTTACCTCTATTGACTGAGCCGTTGCAAGCCTGTAAACATGAACAGGCTTCGTCTGACCAATCCTGTGGCATCTGTCCATGGCTTGCAAGTCCATTTGAGGGTTCTGGAGACCAAGCAAAACACAGTTAGAGACCACCCCAAAAGAGATAAGACCAGGAGGGAAAATTTGACTGATTTGATTACCCAATCGCTGTCGTAAAGTATACATGTATCAGCAGCAGTAAGATTGATTCCGAGTCCTCCAGCTCTGGTACTGAGAAGAAATATCTTACAGTTGCTCTTCTCATCACTGAAATCATCGATCTGTATCATGAGAGAGAAAGACCTTGTGGTTATCATTTGGTAAGAATATTGCTCAAATGCAAAAGCTGCATAAGAACAGGAGAATCCAACCTGTCTTCTCCTTTCATCCAGTTTCACACTCCCATCAATTCTACAAACCTCAAAACCCTTCTCACTGAAGTAATAATCCATAATGTCCAAAAGTTTTGTCCACTGGCTGAAGATTAGGACCTGGTCATCAAGAAAAGGATCAGAGATGTTCTCAAGAGAAATGAACTACGAGCCATGGGTTGATGAAACATACTCTGTGGTTTTTGGCAAACAACCGAACCAGCAATCTCTCCAATAAGCGGAATTTACCACACTGTTCAACAATCTTCTCAACAGGAGGATAGGTTACTGTCAAGAAAAGGAACAATTAGACAGCAGGAGTAAAACGAAGTTTTATCACATGTTTGTAAAAAGGCACACTGACATACATGAACCACTTAAAGGCCCCTCAAGAAGGTCAGGATGGTTGCAGTTCTTCTTAAGTTGAATACACAGATTATTAAGCTTTCCCTTCCAGCCTTCACCAAAAGCATAAGGGATGAACAAAACAATGGAGAAAATGACATTAATAACTGAAAACACACACAAAAGATCAAGTACCTCCGGTAGCATTCTCTGCAAGGTGTTCTTCCAATGTTTTATTCACAAGACGTTCCTGGAAATCTTTCTGATAATTTGTCATTGTAGCATAAACAATAATCTCCTTTTTCCGTGGAAGTGAGAGCTCAACATCACATTTCATTCTTCGGAGGATGAATGGTCGTAGTATGCCATGAAGTTTCGCAAGAACCTAGACAAAAAATTACTCTTGACATGAAATCATATATACAGTCAAAGATATCTAGTAATATTGACCATAATTGTTCGTACTTGAGCTTG